ATTTTAGCAGATGTTCATCGTGAATCTTTAGATAACAACAACGTATCTTTACTCATTGGAGCTGATAATTATTGGAAACTAGTAAAAGACAAAATTGAACGTTTGAACTCAACATTAGTTACAATGGAAACCAAAATAGGTTGGATTTTAATGGGAAAATTATCTGATCATATTGACGATAAGGAAAATGTGACTCATGCCGTCGCAGTGACTTCTTTATTAATTCACACATCGAAGATTGAAAATTTGTGGAAATTAGATTTATTGGGGATTCAAGATCCTGTTGAAACAAAATGTAGAAAGGAAATGGAAATTGCCGCATTGAATCATTTTAACAAAACTGTTACCTTTAAAGAGGGAAGATATGAGGTTCAGTTGCCTTGGATAATAGAACAGGACTGTTTAAGTCAAAATTTCGATATTGCTAGACAGCGTTTAAGCAGTACGACACACCGGTGGATACAAAAGGGCAAATTAGAGGATTACGAAAATGTTTTCACAGATTGATTAAATGAAGGAATTATAGAAGTCCTGAACCGAAATGAATAATCAGTGTCACTATTTACCACATAAAGGGGTATTCAAAGAAACTTCAACCGCAAAAATTGCGACCGGTTTTTTTATGCTTCCTGTAAAGACAAAAATTCGCGGTCACTTAATGATTGCCTAGAAAAGGGTCCAAATTTGCTCGAACAAATTATTCCTATAATTTTAAGATTTCGCAAGAGTAGAATAGGAGTTATTTCAGACATAAGAAAGGCTTTTTTGGAAATGCCAGTGAATAAGAGTGATCGAGATTTCTTACGATTTTTATGGTGGAAAGACTTTAGACAACTTTAGACATAGAGGAACTTGGAGTTTTTAGACATAAATGCAACGTTGTTTTGGGATTGAATTGCAGTCCCTTTTTTATTGGCTGCTGTATTAAGCCATCACATTGATCTAAATTCGTCTAAATATCCTGAAACAGCAGGAAAATTTAAAAGAATCATTCTACGTAGATAATTGCATCACATCTGTTCCTGATGAAGAAACACTTATGCGATTCATCTTGAGGAATTGAAACAAATATTAGATTCTGCATCATTCGATCTGAGAGGGGTGGGAGCACACTTCTCTTTTGAAACCTGAAGACAGGTATAGAACCTACTCCTGTATTGGAAATTTTGTGGGATAAGGAAGATGATAGCCTTTTCTGTGAGGTGAAGACCTGCTACTTAACAAACCAGTGAAATCTTACTAGAAGAAATATATTGTCTGCGGTACATCGCATTTTCGACCCCATGGGTTTTCTCTGCCTGATAACGCTAACACCTAAAGTACTCATACAAAAGACAAGGTTGCTAAAAATTGGTTGGGATACAAATATACCCGAAGACTTAGGAAAAGAGTTCTATTCATGGATTGATGATTTGTCACTTTTATCCAGTGTTAGAATTCCAAGGGCTTTAGTTATAAATGGAAATGAAAGTCTTAGTCTTCATACATTCTATGACACAAGTAAACAAGCCTATGGATGTGTGACTTATTTAAGAAAAGAAACAAGTGAAAATGTATTGGAGTATTTTCTTCTAGCTAAAAGTAGAGTGAGAGTCCATTAAGAAAAATGATGATGAATCGTCTAGAATTGCTAGCTTGCTGTATACGAGTCAGACTTGCAGCTCTTGCTTTACAAACACTCAACTCAGACAACATTCCAAGGAACTATTGTTCAGATTCGAAGCACTGCACTTTCTTGGATCCAAAGAGATGACCATTGGGTACCATTTGTCGTAAATAGAGTAAAAGAAATACGAAAATTGTCATTGGAATCTGAATGGCATCACATTCCAAGAAATTCGAATCCACAGATATACCATGAGGTGTTCGATTACGAGCTTTGAGAAATCTCGCTGGTGGCAAAGAGCCAGAATGGCTTATGAAGAACGAATGAAGAATGGCCAACTAGTGAAGTGATTACTAACGAAGAAGAAACCATGAGAGAAAAGTGAAAGAACATTATTTCGACTTTGGCTAATATCACCACTGAAAAATGGTATCTGAATTACTTTTCAAGTTACTTTTTAAAGTAAGTTTTGTGAGAATGATTTCTTGGATTCTAAGATTTATAAATAATTGTTAAAGATGGAGGAAGAAATTATGACAAAACCCTGAGTGTTGAAGAATTGGAAATTGCTGAGAAGACATTAGTTGAAGATCCTTCAACAAGAGGCATTCTCTAACGTGAAGAACAGTTGAAGGGACATTTTACCTTTCACTGATGAAGAAGGGAATTGTAAGATTGAAAATGAAAATTTTGAGAAAGACATGATGATGAGAACTTCCAGTGCCCCATTGTACTTCCACCCAAACATAAATTAGTAGAAAGAATGATACCAAGACTACCATTTACAAAATTTTATATGCTTGGTACTCCAAGTTCTTTTGACTAATATTCATGTCAAAACATTTTGGATAATAAAAGGAAGAAAAACAATACAAAGGAGTCATATTGAAGTGCGTTCGGTGCAGGAGACAGTCGGCGAAAGCTCTTGATACAGTGCTTTGTCCTCTCCCAGAAGATCGAGTCAGAGATGCTTATTTGAGTTTGACGGTGACAGTTGTTGATGTAGCAGGACCAATTTATTTAAAGGAAAATAGAAAGGCTTGGATCTTGCATCTTACTTGCAGGGTTTACAGTGCGGTTCATTTAGAATTAATTGAAAGCTTATCGACTAATGGATTTTTTCTCAGATTTAGAAGATTCATACCACAAACAGGACGACCTAAAGTAGTATACAGCGATAAATGGTGGGGCGGCTGGTGAGAGAGACTGGGTGGGGAGGCTGGTGAGAGAGACTGGCTCAGATGATCAAGAAATTATTGAGAAGAGTAATGGGAAAAGCATTACTTTCATATGAAGAAATGTTAAAATTATCCTATGTGATGCAGAAGCAAATATCAACTCCAGACCAATAACATATGAGTCAGAAGATTCCACCGATTTATGTGCACTCACTCCATCAATGTTTATTCAGGATGTGCGAACTGAAGGTGTTCTGGATCTAGACAGTTTGGATAAAATCAACTTATTGAAAAGACGGCAATACCACCAAAAGTTACATGTGGAATTTCGTAAAAGATTTAGAGATGAATATCTTGGTATGTTAGTACATCGACCAAAGACTGTACCTTCACGAACCATCAAGAGAAGGTTATCTTAGTTGTTTTTAGAGGAACGATAAAAGGAAAAGAACAGACTGGCCTATGGATCGTGTGATCGAAACATACCCAGGAAAAGATAACAACATCAGAGTGGCTGAAAGTCAAAAACATCTAGTGGTGAACTGTTAAGACCAGTTCAAAGCATATTTCCAATGGAGATAGACAATAAAGAATCTATCTTTGAGCTTAAAACTACTGATCATCCAAATCTTCGAGACATACTGGTAAAATGAATGATTTAGTAATTGATACCAAAGACTGTGAACTTTGAAAATTCTGATAAAAACATTCAGTTTAGTAGATATGGCAGAAAAATTGTGGAAACCAAAGAAACTTTACTTAGTTTTAATTTTGTTTTCCGTACCACTATTATTTGTTTTCTTTATTCCTTTTCTTTGAATTTATAATTGTGTATATACAATTTGATTTTCTCTGTTTTAGTGAACTAAATCACTTTACTAGTATTTTTTCAGAAAAGAACATTTTTGCCTGTTGTTTAAAGAATAAGTTTGTGGAATATTAAGTAAGTTTAAAATATTCAAGATATTTGTTACGCCTAGATAAAATTGGTAGCTTTGGTAAGATTTAAATTACTCATCTTATATTCGTATTTCAATTTTCATTTCACAATTGTTTTGATTTTTTCATACTTTGTCAAAAATCAAAAGGTGGGAGAAATGTTACAACTCGAACGCGAAGTGAGCGAAAGTTTCTCTTCTGCCAGTGGCAACGAGGAGTCGAAAAACGAACTTGGAAGAGAGTGGTCGCTCACTCGATTTCTCTTGATAGAATTTGATACGAAGGGGGGTAATCCCCATCTTTTGATTTGAAATTAATCTTGAATTATGTATATATTGTAATATAAAAGATGTGTGTAAATAAAAGTCATTAAGACTTAAATAGTGATTTGAATCGAATATACAAATCGAAAGCTCTCCCAAATAGAACTATGGATCATAGAAATAACACTGATATTCATGGTTTGATTCAATTCTCCCCTATAGTACAGCTTTTCCCAGATTAAGCGATGAGTAATGAAATTTGATAAATAGCCTCAAGAGCATGATTAACAGTTGCATTATGAGCAGTAAGTAGAGACTTTAAGGAATTACATTTTTTGAAAAAAAGTTAATATCCTTAAAGTGTGAAAATAATTCAAATCTGAATTAAGATCAGCATTATGTTTCGCCTTCAAATGTGCCTCAAGATGACCTAGTTTCATTGATTCGTTGGTCATGCATTATTGGCATAGAAGGCAAAAGGTGACCATTTATTGACCGGGTACGAAACCAAATTTTAAATATACCTCCGAATACTGACGAACTTTCTTTCTTGCTTGCATCCCTCATTTCACTAAGGGCTGAAAGAAATAAATATAAGATCAACATAATTAAAGCGAAAAGCAGCAGCTGTTGCCACTCAAGGAAAAAATAATATACCGATTGCCAATTTTCTACAGTAAAAAATAAAATAAATTCGTTGGCTGAAATGTGCGAAAAATGTCTGGAAAGCATAATGTGTCAGTTATTTAAATGCCCTTTAAAAGCATTTAAATGTCAATGTCTACAGTGAAAATTCTTTATATAATATTTAAAATGCACTGCAATTAAAAAAGTTTTTATGTATGCATCACTTACATTTTTCTTTAATTTGGAGAATGAAAAATGTAATTTCGAAAAATTTTGACTTCCTTTGTCCCCTTAAACTCTGGAGAGTCCATTTTCGAATTGCCCCCCTTAACAGTCGCATTGCACCCTTGTGGGGCGTGGGCCCCACGTTGGGAAACGCTGCTCTAAAGGGAAGAACGAAATGTTGGTATGGCAATTGCACTATAGCCAACTTTACAGAATATGATTTTTTCCAGTACAACAGTTGTATTATTGGCTTTAAAAAGTTAAGAAAATCCTGAATTTTCAATAGCACTCAGTATAATTTATTTCAGAATTAAGACTTTAGATAGCATTGCTAGAAAAATTTTAATAAATGTCAACAAGCAGAATGCTCTTCTAAAGGATACTATCCTCATAATACATTGAGCCACTTTTTATTCAAATTCACCTCAAAAATTGAAGTTTACAAATTATTGAAGTAGATGAGCATCATTTATATCATCATACCACATTTATTACAAATACAATTAGAATTTTCTAAAATTATTAAAGAAAGTAATTGCAACTTTTTAAGAAAGTTTTTACTTTTCACTAGCATTTTTACCTATTTTATTGGCAGTTTTTAATTCATTGAAAACCATTTTAATCACCTTATTTCAATTTTTAAAAGTTAATCAATGCAAATGTTTAAATACCTGAATTTTCATAACATCCAAGGCAACAGTAGTTTCTCGAATCACAGCCATGGCAGCTTCTGCCATCAACCTACATTACAAAGAAGAAAGAAATTTAGAAATTTATCTTTTAGAAAAGTTTATATGGTTGATGCTCATTATAATGACCCCTCTTATACTGCACAGAAAGGGCATTATAGCAAAAATGGATTTCATACACTACAATAAAATGGATTTCATATCATATATAATTTGAAGACTTTCTTGTTTTTATTTGTTACAGTGGCCACTGTAACAAATGAATGTTATAATGAACATTAACTGTGCTGACAACCATGTGCCTTATTTTGTAAAATAAAATATTTTTCAAATTAATTTTTGTTTCATATATAAGCAGTATATTCAGTCATTCATAAGAATGGGAATAACAATTGCCTTTTATAACCAAGATAAAAATCTGGTTTCAAAGATTTTTATTGAAAATTATGTAAAAAAATATAAAATTTTAGTGATTATGATTTTTTTTAACTTACTGAGCTTCTGAAGAAACTTTGGAACTAAAAAGATGTTTTGCAATTGTGTTAGTTTTTCCCAAAGGTATAATACCTAAAGGCAACTTTGCTTCCTTGAGAAAAGAGAAAGAAGAAATAATAATAATCAAAATTACATTTGTGTACTTGGTAAACAATACTCAATTTGTTAATACAGGTAGAATATAAAATCTACATAATTTTATCTAACTTTATGAAAATTAATATTGTTTACAAAAAAATAAAAGTAAAGAATATCAGGATCAGTATTCAAAAGTATTATTAACAATAAAAATTAGTATTATTAAACGGAAAGTATTATTAACAATAAAAATAAGAAAAATTGATATTTTAAATTACAATTGCGAATATAATAAAGTTCAGCTCACCTCTATATCTGGACGCCTCATCAATCCAGTAACAACCTAAATATTTCAATTTTTTTAAAGAAAAAAGGCAAAATTTACATTTTTAACAACACACCATAGATTTTGAAACCATTTTTAAAAATTATCATTGGCAATGTTACATATAATGGATGAACCATGAAATGTAACAATTTTTTACATACAGCATATTTAATATTTTGTAATACACAGGTAATAAATTCACAGATTAATAAATTCTAAATTTTGATGCACAAAAAATTAATTAGGAGCATTTATACCTTTCATACTTATATGCAATTCATTATGAATATACTTAATAAAATATAAAAATGGTCAAATTTTTATTTCTAAAATTACTTACAGCAGAAAAATGCATTAAAATTGTTCTGTGTTTTAAACTTTAAAATCATTGATAAATTTATACATAAAGGTTCCAAAGGAAAGCTTATATGTATCCCTTTTATTTCAGAGTAAGTGGTCCCATATGACATGCATCATGTGTATCTGTAATAAAAGTGGAGCAGTTTGAATAAAAGTGACTGCAGTGTCATCTAGCAAAAAATTAAGAAATTTTTCAAACCGAATTCTGCAGTGAAGCAAAATAAAATGATGAATTGAGTTATGTAACATCATCTACTTATTAGGACATTCAGAAATGCATTAACTTACAATTATTAGCAGGGAGCAAAGCAAAACAGAAAACAAAATTTAGAACATAAGTCACAAATAGGGAGAATGGCAATACTAATAGATATTTTATTATTTAATAAACAATTTATAATGATACAAAATTTTCAATATTTTTAAAATATAATAAAAATTTAGCTCTATAAAGTGTTATTTGTCTTGTTCAGTGAATGAAGTAGGATATATTAGGGACATAAAAATAGCATTTTGATATTTCCCTCTCTCTCTTTTTTTAAGCTATTTCATGTTAAAGACTTTCATTTTTCTTCTTCACATATCTTTCTAAAATTAATTGTGCTATATTAAAGTGATCTGAAGCATCCACATATCCCATTTGACGAGTGATAGCTGCTCTTGTACTGCATTGTTCATATCTTCAGTCAGCTATCACTATCTCTTTGTTATTTTGAAATAATGTTCTCACCTTTTTCTTAAAAAAAAAAAAAAAAAAAAAAAAAAAAAAAAAAAAGACGAAGAGAGAGAGAGAGAGAGAAACCGTATTTAGAGTCTTATTTGATAATCTGTAAAAATTTATAGGTAATCTTTTGCTTCTAGTTATTTTACTACGAGGTTGTACCCCATTACACTTTACTTCATTCTACCCCAGGATTAGCATTTAAGGCAGAGATCTACTAAAACTACAAAACATAGTAAATAAACTGGGTAAGCTCACTGAACTACAGCTCAATAAAAATACTTTAAACATCTATTGCATAAATCTGTAATAAAAGAAACGACTAATGATTTACTTTAAGGCTGATATCAACAGATTTTATAACAAATTAATTAAAAATATGCAGTTACGATTTCTCAACACAGATAGCCTGAAAACTAAATCAAATGACCATTGCACAAATAAAAGAATAGATAATAGTATTTACTGTCTTCTTTGTGAAGTTATGATTCCTTAAAATGATAAACAGAGAAGTACACCATTGTACCCCATTCTGTCCTGACATCATCTACTGATTATATTTGTGTATATCACGAAATATAAATTTACCATAAAATGGATTATGGATCTTTATATAAACATGCTTAGAGATGAATTTATATCTTTATAGATCATATTTCTGCAATATGTAATCAACATCAGGCTTGTTCAATTTTTCTTATATGCACATCTGTTGCTTCAGATGCCTCACTCCATGCTTTCAGTTTAGATTTAGAATGTCCAAGATATATGCCAATATATAGTATCTAAAATTAGTCAAAAACCAAATGGCTCTGCTTGAAATGTTGACAGAATTATGCTATGCTACTTATTTCTTTATGCAACAAACTGCATTAAAAATGATTTTGTCGGTTGAATATGGATAAAATGGAAAATGTAGAACATACAAATTTGCCATTAAGTATAATTATCTCAATATATTGATATGAGAAGTAGCATATCTAAAGACGCTTTTGAGATAATTTATACACCCCATATTGTCCATAATATTCCCATACAACGGTATCATTCAAATGGTTAATGCCTTTGATTCAACAATATGTATAAGGCATTAGAGGGACACCAGAGGCTCTTGGAATATGGTTTTGCTATTCTAAGCTATGATGTTGAACATGAGCGACTTTGAGCATTGAATGAGGCACTTGGATTAATATCACAGTACTTGAGGAAAATTTTGAACATGTACAATATCTATCCTTTATGAATCATCAAATATCATCAAATATGACAAAAATATTTCTATAAGCACACTTGTGTCAAAGTGATGCTTTCTGTAATTGACTTATATCTGCTGATATATAAATGATAATTATTATTTTTTAATAAACTTAGAAATGACAATTCAGATTAGCTAGATGAAGTTTAGTTCAACTTTGTAACAGACCATTATCTTCTTGCCCGGTTTGTTGCAGGATTAGATATCTCAACTTCTCGAATTTTCCACTAACAGATGCTGCAACCACATTATTCAGATGGTCACCTACAGACACATTTAGCAAGTATGGTTCTGGAATAGATCATTCTGAAATATAACAGATGTCCGTGGCCTTTCTTTTACACCTTACATATTTGATCACCATTAAGTGTAAAACATTAATATACAAATTAACCCTTCTGGGATATGTGCTGACAAATAGCTGCATAGCACATCATAATCCAAGATCACCAAGCAATGAATTATCCCAATATGTTCAAATTTTATTTTTATGCAGTTCATCAAATAGGCATGCATCTTGATTTTTACATTAAAAGTAGTGACATATCCTAGATTTTCCTCTCTCAATATAAAAGTCTGACTTATTACTTTTAATAATAGGCTGTTAATTATCATAAAATACACATGCAATATTCATACAACAGTGCTTAGAAAAGAAGATAAAATTACAACCATTAGAAATATTGTAACAGCTATGGTTATTTTGCATTATTTTTGATACCAGTTAGAAATATTTACAATTGTGAAATTATTATGTACTAAATTTTAATACATCAGAAAGCACTTACTACATAAAAGGAGGAAATAATATATAATTAAAATATTTTTTATGTTATTTATAAAAAAATTATATATAATTCTATAAATAAGATAAAATGATGGAAATTTTTTTAAATTCATTTAAAGTAACACAGAATATTATGCACATCAGATACAGTATTTATTTAAATATATAATAAAAAGAATTGACTTTAAAGAAAAAAAAATCATTCATTGTGGTCACAAAATATTAAATTATATAAGTAGATAAATCAATGTTTGGAAGAGAAAAATCCACATTTTAAGATCTGTTGTTGTTAATGATCTCGCTTGCCTGACAAAGGTCAGCACAAGTCCACAACATTCCTCATAGCAAGGAATCAAATGTACCTGTCTTTGGCAAGAGCCTTGAGCACCATATAGGTGACAGCATGACTTTAGCTTTATTCCCCTCCCAAAAGAGAAAGCACTTCTGGAAAACTGGTCCGAGGGTCTCCACCCCTCTTTCCCTATTAACAACCTCTAGAGAAAACTTTCAGCTCTCTGCATATTTAGAGGGCTCCTATGCCCCACAGACACTGTACATTTACAAACATCCAAGCCTTCTTTGGGATACAAACCCAGGTCCTTCAGTACGCCAACCACTATCCTGGCTGAGTGGCATTTTAAGATCTAGGCATGCTATAGTCTTCCTGGTAATTCTGAACTCGATTTTAGCCTTTTATCTTTGCCAAATAAAACAATTCTATATAGTGGCTTTAATGCACACAGTAAACGAGGAAAATACAATGATCTTAACAGTGTTGGTAAAGTGTTATTGGATCTCCTAAATTCAGATAAAATGGAACGCTAATTCAAAAACACTGACATTCCAACTTTTTGACATGACAACGGAAGTGGCACAAATTCGGACTTTAGCTACATTTGATATTGCTGAAAATACCAGCAGAGAAATTATCTTCAACAATTTTGAGTCATCATATCATTATTACAGGGATTAAATTTCCCTTAACTTTCTTAATTAAGGACATTAAGAAAAATGTTAAAAACAGATGAAACTCTAAAAAAGACCAACTGGATGAAATTCTCAAAAGAACTCGAACATATAATGTCTTCTTCAAATGAATTCCTTGTCCTAAAAGAAAGGATTGCTAAAGCTTTTTCTAGATTTCAAAATATTATATTATCAAGCACTAAAATGTGAATCCCTAGAGGAAAACAACATAAATTTAAATAATTCTGTAATGAAAAGCTTGATTCTCTGAAATCTTATTCCTGCCATGCCTGCATTACTGCAGAATTAACCAAGAGACCAGAAAACATCCAATTCTGGAGAAAGATTATTATTATTCTATGTAAAGAAATTTTAACTGCAAAATGTAATTGTTTTAATGATTTTATTATTAATATTGACAATGCAAAGAACTAGTAAAATCTATAATTTTGCAAATAAATTGAAAAGCAAGTCTAACGCGAAAACTAAGGAACCAATGAGAGTTGCAGAAAAGCTTTTGACTCAGGACAAAAAAAATTTTTAATACTTTTAAATGTTTTTATCTTAAAAGGCAAAGACTGAATTATGATCTTGTGAAAAAACAGAAGCTTATCAGCTTATAGTGATTTTGGCATACTGGAACTTAAAGAAGCCATTCGACAAATGAAAAATGGAAAGTATCCAGGACTAGATAACGTTTTGCAGGAATTTCTAAAACATAGTGGCAAAAATTCCCTTTCTGAACTTTTAAAATTATATAACTATAGCTGGAATTTTGGAGTACTTGCTATTTGGAAAAAAAGCTATCATTTTTCCAATTCATAAAAGCAGTAAACCTCTAGATGATTTTAGTCGTTACTGGTCTGTTTCCTTGACTTCCATTCTATCCAAAGTCATGGAGAGATTGATACTTCTTGTATTAAATGGTACATTGAGACAAATAATATTTTGTTTACAACCCAGTTGGGTTTTAGCAGATTCCAATCAACTAGCCAGCAGGTCATCTTCCTGGACCAGTCTATGTCCTGGATCTCCAACAATCTGTCTTTGCTGTGTTCCTGTCTTTAGATGTACACTTCAGTGCTGCTTTTGAAGGGTCTGGAGATTAAGGACTATCCAAAAACTGCAGTCCATAGGTATTGATGACAAGATGCTCTGGTGGATCAAAGATTTTCTTTCTCAATGCTTCTGCATAACTTGCTTCGGAGATCACACTTTGAAATTTAAGCAAATAAAACTGGTATCCTCAGGTCACTGTAATTAACCCCACCCTGTTTAATATTTTTATAAATGACCTCTGTGACCCCGATGGATTGACAAAAGAGGTTCTATTTGCAGACGATCTAGTCTTTTGCTGTAGCTCTTTGAAAAAAGATCAAACTAAGCTTACTAAGCTTAATGCTATTTTGAATTTAACCATGGAGTGACTTGAACATTGGTGCAATAATAACAATATGTCAGTAAACATAAATAAAACTAATAGCTAGTTTTTCCCTCTGAACCAACAGTAGAATGTTATCCAGCCTTGGATTCTTTCCATTTTTTACCTCTTAACTAGTATTTCCAAACTCATCTTTCAGGATAGACATATACAACTTAATGATTTTGCAACTTACTTACGCTGTACCTTCGACTACAAGCTAACATGGAGGGAACAAGCTGAGCATGTTATCTCAAAGCAGAAAAAAAGACTCCCTAATCTTAAATGACTAGCAAAATTAAAAGGGGCTGTAACAGAGAAATTTTAAGTAAAGTTATAAAATGTATATTCAGCTGGCCCTGAACTATTGTAACAAAGTGTTGGTTTCTCCTTCTGACAGAGTGATTAATTTGAAACTTTTCAAAATCAAGTTCTACAAATCCTTTCTGGAGAAGTCAAAACGATCCCTGTGTTGGTGATGCAGCAATTGATGAAAAAAAAAATCCTATGATTAATGTGATTAAACAAGAAGCAACTATTTTTTGTAACAGGTTAATTAGGATTCCTAATAACTTTTTGGTGAGACTGCAATCACAATCTAGAACATAACATGAAAACTCAAAGGATTTTACCCAACATGTACATGATATTGATTGTTTCCATTTAATTAATGATAAACCAATTTAATTACTGTCCCTTGTTAACCCCTTGTACTACATGGACCTTGACATAAGACTGGAGTTAAAATCAGAATATAAAAAAATCAAACTGCTGTTCTGAAGCACTCCATGCAACTGCTCTGGAAACTATCCATGGTCACTATCTTTTTTATCAATGGCTTCACATTTATACAGATGGTTCCCTTCTGGACTTTACTCAAAGAGCTGGGGCTGCTATGTTTTGCAAACTTTTCCGTTTTTATCTGCCAATTGGAAATTTCATGACACATTTTGATGGTGAGCCGGCCATGTAAACTCTTCAGCAACTTTCCATTTGCCAGAATTCCTTTGAGAGGGCTATGATCCTCTCCAATTTAACATCTGCTCTTCAGGCTTTATCATCTAATCAAGAGAATAAAAGCCCTCACATCCAGAAGTGCAGATCTCTACTTGAAAGAATTCAATGTAACATGTCTTTTCAAAGGTTACCTTCCAACTGTGGTGTTAAGGAAACTGAGAAAGTGAACCTTTTGCAAAAAGAGGTTGCCGTTTATTTCAATGAAATAGAAATTTGCCCTTACATTCTTAAAAAATGGAGATTAAAAGAATCTTCAGACAGTCCTTTCATACAGTGCCTGATCACTCTTCCTGTACTAAACCCTGGACTGTCCTTAGCAATAATTCTCATCTTGTTCTAAATGCTACTTATATAGCTGTGGTGGCCACTTTTGGCCTGTTGACTGAACACAACTGTCTCCATGCTAATTTATTTTGTTTTAATATTGTCAACTTTTCTGTGTGTATTTTGTGTTTAACTGGACAAGATATGACTGCTGCTCACATTGATAAATGCTCTGCATTATCTCATTTTAATTATCTTGTGGAAAAATATTGGAGAGCATGCAGACTAATGACCTAGTGACCAACAGGCTGGCATCTGATAAATAAAAAACTAATAAAACTAAATAGTTCATACCTCTTGTACAGTTCCATTGCCACCAGCAATAATAACAGCATCAGTATTTGACATAATTTCCATCAGATCTTGAGCTTGCTTTTCCTTTTCTGTCTGAATTATACAAAATTTTGAATTTAATTAACAAATCATATAAAAGAAACATTGCCACTGGTTTTTTTTTTAATACAGCAGTCTTTTTCAGAGAAATCTAATAAATAGAATTAATTGTTTCTCATATAAAACTCATAACATGATTTACATGTATTATATTATGGGATATAAATTTACACATACATAATTCGATTAATGTCATTTTATTTCCATGTGAAACATAGATGAAATTAAAAGGTATGACCAACAGACACTTTTAAAGGGCAGAATATATTCTTTTATATTCTTTTAGTTTAATCTTTATGATTAATAAAGATTTAATATATTCTTTTAGTTTAATCTTTATGAGTAAAATATATTAATAAAAGATAAATTCAGTTTATTTACACATAGTCACTGAAATACAAGCTCATAGATTAATTAATGAATGAGTTTTGATACACTCATTAACACAGTGGTTTTGAAGCTGTAGTATGTGAAGCTCTATGGGTACATGAGAACCTGCCAAGGGGAAAAAAAAAAGTTTCAAAAGTTTTTAAAAGACAGAGAGAAATAATTTTAAAAGATTAAAAAAGAATTAGACCTTTTTTTATCTCAATTTAGAAGAACTGGATTTTTGAATTTGATTGAAAAATATTTTTTCATCTAAATTTTTAGATTAAAAATAATATTGTTCAACCCTTAAAAAAAAAAAAAAAAAAAAAAAAAAAAACACTGGAAGAGTTAATGAATTTGATGTCCTTCCTTAAGGCCGAAACTGAAGAGGAAGAAGGAATAAACTTAGCCATGGTTGGTTTTGGTTTGCATTCAAGTGAAAATCCCCAATTTTTCAGAAAAGAGAAGAGCATTTGACCACAAGAAGAATGCCTACAGCTGCCAATTTACTCACTACAGCTTTAAAGGATGTGAAGAAAATATGTGTTTCTTTGTTTTGGGAAACACCAAATCTGGGATTGTTTTCCTGATCAAAAGATGAGTTTAGTTGAAAAGAACAGTAGTTTAAGAGATAAACAGTTCTGCTTTGCATGCCTGATGGCTGAACATCCAGTTTATAAATGCAAAGTATTTCTAAAATGTGTAATATGCAGTAAAGAAACATGTGCCCCTTATGCGTGAAATAGATGCTTGAATGTTATGTGTGAAATAGATGCCCAAGTGAGTCTACTAGTGAAATATCTTGAGTTTCATCTAGAGCAGAAAGCGAGGATGAGGAAAACATATCCAAAGATGCACAAGGCAAAATGGTTTTTAATTACAATTATTAAAGAAGATCAGTGGAGGCCTCTAAATCCTGAAGGGAATAAAGAGTATGACAGGGATTTTCTGCTTCATTTGCAATCTCAACCTATGTCATTATGCAAACCTAATAACCTGCCAAATCTAGATATGAAACAAGACAAGGCTCACATTCAAAAACTAATTGAAATAAATAGAGCTGCATCAGTGTCTCTTCCTGTTCGAATGTACATTGATCCATTTATGCCTACATATGCAACAGGCAGTATATCAATACCTCCTCACACTGCCATTAATCGTCTCACTCAGTCTGGAAGAGGAGAAAAGCCAAAACAAAATTATTTCATTTTCAAGCTCTCTTATGCAAAATATTAAATTACACAAGTCAGAAAATGTTTGGAAGCCATCTCATAGGCTGGAAAAATCTGCTGATGAGACTGCTTAAATTCAGGATCTGTACAGGAAAGTTCATGGAATCTTGAACAAATCTACTCATCAGAAGTTTGAAACACTTGTTAGGCAAAATAAAACCTTAAACCTTAAATATAAATACAGAAGAAAAGTTAAAAGCTGTAACTGATTTGGTTTTTGAAAAACCAACTGATGAATCAAACTTTACTGTTCCCTATGCTAATATGTGCAAATAATTGGCATTGATCAAAGTCCTTTAGCTGGGAGACAGGTAAATTTCCAGACACTCTTAATTACCAGCTGCCAGAATGAGTGAGCAAGATAGAACTAATGAGCTTAACATGAAGGACCCAATTAAAGTCATTGAATCTGCAGTCCTGAAAAGAAGCTAGAGCTTCAATTAGAGTATGACAAAGAAGAAAAGAAAATGAGATACAGGCAGATAGGCAATATAAGGTTCATTGAAGAACTCTTCAAATTAAATAATGCTTATTGAACCTATAATTAAGCTCTCATGTCAACAAAATCAAGAATCTTGAATGTTTGTCAGCCTTTGAAAACCATAGGCAAACAATTTGATCAAGGAATGTCTCCCATAGATTACGAAGAGCTCACATTTTTCTTTAATTCATTCTTCACCTATATTACAAACTCCACATTTAGCCTTATATAAGTCAGCTGTAGCTGGAATAAGCTGAATTCCAAATAAAAAAAAAATAAAAAAAAACTGAAAGGTTTCAGATCTTAAATTACATCCAAAAGGGTGGCTTTTTTTTTTTTTTTTTTTTTTTTTTTTTTTTTTTTTTTTTTTTTTTTAAATATTTTGTGTTACCTTTATTTATTAAATATCATGTTCTTCACACTTCAACCATAAAATTCAGTTAGAGAGCAATATTGCAAAATATTTTTAAATTGATCTTATCTTTAGAATTTCCGATATGCAGTCTCATGCGCTGGAGATAAAAATGTTTTTTCTGTACAACATTGCCATTTCTCACTTTGAAATCCTTGAGTTTCTTAATCAAAATTCCTTAAAGTTTTACAAAATATGAAACTGATAATTAAACAAATTACAAATTTCAAATTTGGGTTTTTTCAGATGCCTATATTCGTAGTAGGATTATGTCATTCAAAATTTGATGGCTCTAGGTACCATTGTTTTATCACAATGTTATACATTTATGCAGATTCTTCATTATTTAATTTCTTCAAGTATAATACAGGGTGATAATATTTGATGGCAACAGTTTGAAAAGTGCTGAAGCCATTTTTACAGTGTTTCGATGCAAAAATTGCAAAACGAAAACAATAGTCCCTCAGAGAAAAAGCCCCTTTGGACTAAAAATTATTTTTGATGTGTTAAAATTTTTATTTCATGTTAAAACAACTTTTAGTATAAAACTTACCTGAAACACACTAACTTTTAAACCTGCTAAATGCAGCAATGGGGCAGCAAATTTTTCAAATCTGACATTTGCCTTCCTGTTAAAAAAAAAAAAAAAAAAAAAAAAAAAAAAAAAAGAGCAAATGAATGACAAACATAAGTTACTAAAAATTTTTTTAAAATAGTTCTTTCTAACTGACTGCGAATGATTTTGTGTAGCATTTCACACATACTCAAACACCTATAAAGTACAGTAACAACAAAATAATTATTTCAGACGTATTAGAAAAACACAAAACATAATTTTATGTCTTAATCAAGCGCACTGCCTGATACAGTTCTTTGACTTGCAGCCTTTATAACTGTGGAATATACAAATTGAGAAGCTTGGTTTACTTGTGAAATTAATGCTGGTCCTTCTTACTTTACAAAAGGAGAGCATTTTTCTAAAATAATTTATAAGCTGGTGTAAAGCAAGGAGGGTATTACCTCATGTGGGAAACACTTTTGGAACATTTCCAAAAAAAACATCTTATATCAAATAACACCAAAAAAATATAGTAATACAAGTAGAAATAACATCGATACTGTATAATTTTCATTACAAAACTAAGAAGAACTAAATATGTTGGTAGTAATGATGATAGTGTATCAAACTACTATATAATCTAATTAGGAGAAAAGATAAAGGTGATTATGATGTTGGAAAGACAGAGAGAAAATTAGTTAACCTTTTGGCAATTGGAAAATTAAGCAATTCTTTCTTCCCAAATACATGCAATATCTGACTCTTGTAAATCTGTAATGTGAGTTGGTTTGTTTGTTCCCAATTTGGAGTGCTGAAATTCAAAGTCTGTTGTTTTCTCTGCCTTAAGTTAAAAGCTTGGATAGAAGTGGAGCAAAACAAGATTAAAAGCGACATCGTGGAGCTTAGAAAGGAAACTGGAGCCAAAATAGAAGATGTGGAAATTACAGTAGTGGCATCTGAAGAGTCAAAGGATGAAGAAGTGAAGAATATACCTAGTGAAGTATTTGAGAAAGATCAAGAAATGAAGGTTGAAACATCTAACAAGATTAGAGAAAAAGAATGAAAAGGAGAAAAATGAAAGATGGGAAAGAAGCTTTTGATTCTCAAGTGCCTGAAGTTGAAATAGAAGAAAGTGATAATACTGTTAGTAAAAATAAGGAAATAAAAGAAGTGGCTAATAAATAAAAGATGCCCCAGAAAGATAATAAATTGATTGATCTATGGAAGGAGACCCCTCATCCAAACAATATCTCTTCCTTTTCTCTGCCTCATCACTTTCCATTTTTGTTGCCAAGCATCTGAAAAAGGAGAAGAAATAATTCATGGAAATAAAGTTCCTGCTTTTCAAGTGTCTGAAGAAGAGATGGAAGAAAGTGAAAATGTGACTATTAAGTTGGTAGAAATTGACAGTGAAGTTACAAAGTCACAGTTAGCAAGCACTGAACAATCTGAAAACTCATGTGATGCAGAGATGGGAGAAGCTGATGTACAGCTTAAGCACAGTGTTCTACTATTGCAGAAAAATAAATCTTCACAAACTACTTGTGTGTCTCATACAAGCTGTACAGATAAAGCCAGAATCAACTCAGGATGGCACTGCTTGTACAACTCTCTTCTTAAGTCAAGGACTACCTATATAACATGCCTGGCAGCAAGTGACTTATAGGACCATGAATTTAACAAGGAAGAAATCATGGCCAGTTTGTCTTCCGGGCAGAGACTTTGGCAATGAGAGCTTTTTTTAGCGGGGGGGGGGGGGGAGTGGTTAGCTATGATACTATGTTTCTAGGCAAAACTATGTGCTTGGAAACTAACAATGGTGACTTGAAGGAGTTACTAAAGGACCATAAAAATAAACTCAATAAGAACTGGAACAACTTCAGGAGTGACACAAAAAGGCAAATATGCAGGAAATGCCTTCAGAGGAAAAAAAAAAAAAAAAAGGAGAGAAAGATGACCCTAGCTCTTTGATTTATGAAAGTTGTCCAAAATGGGGTAAGGTGCAAAATTTCATAGTAAAATATCACCCTGACAAATCTGTTCCAATACACTTAAACACTTCAAATGACATTTTGTCCAATGTTCAAATGATTTTAAAACAGGCAATAACAAATCAAATTTTAAGTGAAATGGAGATCCAGTGAATCACAAATAGAGTTGAGTGGTGTTAAGATACAAAAAATAAATAAAAGATGCCCCAGAAAGATAATAAATTGATTGATCTATGGAAGGAGACCCCTCATCCAAACAATATCTCTTCCTTTTCTCTGCCTCATCACTTTCCATTTTTGTTGCCAATTCTCCTTTGTACAGGTAAGGTAAAATTAAATTGAATTTTTGCCTAATTTATCTGTTTAATATTGTGCTTGTATTTTTTCCCACAGATTTAATAATTCGTATTAATTTTATATTATGAACTTCTGCACAAAGCACCATTAATCATAATGCAGAGTTGCCAACTCTCCCGATTTAGGCGGAAGACTCCCGATTTTCGACCACTCTCCCGCCAATCCGATTTACAATATATTTCTCCCGACTTTTTCTTATTCTTAAAATTTCTCACGATTTTTATGGAACTTGGCTTAATACTTTGTTATATGAACAAGAAAAAGTGATTTTGGACGTCTGAAGCAATTAAATTTCCTCTAGATTATATCTAAAACAAAACCTTGTGAATTAGATAACTTCTGCTTAAGTGAGAGCATATACGTATCCAGAAAGGTCGTTCTCCAGTTCTCCAATGGGCATCGTGCTCCACTGCGTGTCATCTGCCATATATTAGCCAATGATGACAAAGCAAGCTGCTATTTGGATGTTCTTTAGTTATTTCGGTCATTTTGTCCTGAGTTGTGTGAGTACACGTGTCTTCGGGAAATAGTTTTAGAAATTATCATCATTTGTTATGTCTGCGAGAAAGGTGAAATACTCATGTACGTTTCAAAAACTGTACACAGTTGACTTTCCTTCCATTATTTCTTCAAGGAAATGTGATAAATTTGCGATGTGTACCACCTGTTGTTACGATTTTTCGATTTCGCATGGTGAAAGGGCGGATGTTCTCAAACATGTGCGTACACAAAAACACAAGAACAACATGAGTTGTTTTGAAAACAAACGAAAAATCAAATTTTTCTTCGGAAACAGAGGACCAAAAAGTTATTAATGTAGAATGTCTGTTCTCTGCCTTTTTACTGGAGGACAACCTGCCACTGAATGCATAGGATCACGCTGCAGCTTTATTTAGTAAAATGTTTCCTGATAGTGAAATCGCTAAGAAATACTCAAGTGCAAGAACCAAACAGGTGCAATTGTTAAAGAAATGAATTTGAAAAATAAATCTTCAGTTATTGATTGCATTAAAACAGCTCCGTTCTGTCTCTCTATGGATGGAAGCAAAAATACCGATTCAAAACTGTATCCAATTGTTGTTTCTTGTTTTTTCAAGAGTCTTCAGAAATTGAGTGAAGTTTACTTTCTGTCTCCACTTTAGAAGGACATTTGACAGGCTTTAATATAACACAGCTAATTATTAAAACTGTAAAAGAAAATGCTTAGCACTTGGTGCCGATAATGCACCAGTATTGGTAGGCTTGAAGACTGGTGTTGCAGGCATCTTAAAAAAGGAAAATTCAGATTTGCAGATTATGAGGTGCACCTGTCACCTCTTAAATTTAGCAGCTGAAAAAGGGGCAGCTTCTTTACCAATAAATGTGGATGAGTACACTGTTGATATTTATTATTATCTTGAAAGGAGTTCTAAAAGTAAGGAAATATTGAAACAGTTCTAACAGCTGCATAACAGCAGTTTACAATTAGAAAACTTGGATGAAGTTATAAAATCAGCTAGGATTGACACCCAGTGGAGTGTAATTGGAAAACTGAAAGAGAGCTGATGGAATTTTAAAATATAGTGAACTGTCTAGAATTATGTTGGCCATCTTGACAGTTCCCCATAGTAATGCAGTGTGAGAAAATTTTCAGTGTTGTTCCGAAAACGAGGACTAAATTTAGATCTAATATTAGTGATGACACATTAGAAAAACTTTTATTAGTGAAAGCAGGCCTACGTGGTAATTGCTATAAACAAAATTATGAAGTTTCTTTCTTAAAGAAAGCAAAATCTGCCATTGTTTATAACATTTGTACAAAAACTGGTTAAAGTGTTTTTTTTTTTTTTTTTTTTTTTTTTTTTTTTTTTTTTGTTGTTTTTCTTAAACAATGCAAGTAATAAAAATGTTTTTTATGTGTAAGGTATTTTTGTGTTGCTTGCATTTAAGAATTAGTCATACTGTTTAAAGCTAATTCATTATTAAATACTATATTTTCGTCATTTAAAAAGTATTTTTAACATTGTGAAAAATCTCCCAATTTCTTAAAAAAAATCTGATTTTTTAGTGTCATAGGTTGTCAAGTATGCATATGTTTTAGGAATGAATTAACAATTTTAAATTAATCTCTTTGGAACAAACAGTTTCAGTTTACTAACATCTCTGATAATGAATGGCCTTCAAGAATGAATTACATTTACAAACTGAGGTTTCAGTGTAACTATATGGATTGGTTTGGGGGTTTATCAAGTTATAATAATTAAAAAATTCATTCCTTGAGATAAATGTGTGCTCTTTTTTATTAACTATAACTATAAAAATTATCAAACCTAATTTAAGACTCTAAAGCCGCCTAGTTTCTACATGTTAAATTGTAAAATAGAGCTCTAGAATGAGCTTCCCCCTAAAAAAACAGCAATAATATAGCAATTTGAAATCTTGTTCCACGTATTACTTCAAGTATCGTATTTACATTTTCAGGTATTTTTCTTTCATCTGCCTGCAAATCTGGCAATTGTATCTTATTATATTTTGGTAGCCATTTTTATTCTCAAAATTCTCTTTTTGAGTCTCGGGCTGCTTAGCCTCACCATGCGACTCTTTGAATAACCATCTACTGAAAAAGATTTGATAGAATATTTCGGCACTGCAGAGTTCTCCCAAGTAATCGAAAATGTTCAAATCTTCATGATGTGAATCTATATATCACCGACAAAAGGATTAGGTGGCGATATAATGGATA